CATCACAAAAGTAGACGTGAATTAAGCAAAAGCGGGAAATCGTGCTTCTTGCGGTCCGTTTGATCACGATTATTTGATCATGGCATCAAAGAGACTTCGAGAAGCTCTCTTGTGACTAGATAGACAACCAGAAATTGGGAAAGGAGACGGAGAATCAAGAAGAGTGATTTGTTTGAATAGGTCAAGAAACAGGTAAATCAATAGCATTGATCTTACCGTTAACATACAAGTCGTAATCATTCTGAATGAAATATTATATGTCCTCTCATTCATGAGACACAAATATCATTAATATACAATTTAATAAACCACAATCATTGACATTACAATAACATTAGTTATTGTTGAGTTCATCACTTATGCTTGATATTAATATATCTTAATATCGACAAACATCTCATATATTAAAATCTAACAATTATATATTGAAAGTAAAACCGTTAATACTGTAATGCTATGTGTTAACAACAGCAGATAATAATAGAGGCAAAATATATTCTGATCTATATCGAAATTTTCAATCAAAGATAATTTTATAAAATATATACTATTAATATTTATAATGTAAAACATAAAATGTAAAGTTTGGTATATAAATGATTTAATATTACGTTTTATACTGCATGCCGAATTTTTATGTAACATATAAAGCGAACGCAAGTTACTATTGGCAGCTCAAATTCGTAAATTGTTTTTGAACGATGTTTGCCGATAATGTTGATGAACACGCATCAAATCGTCTAGCATACCGATCATCGTAATACGATTGCGTCGCGGTAGATTACAAGCAATTACGTCCGTCGATCAGACGAATCGTAGGCACGTAGTTCGAGGTCGACGCGAGTTATATGTCATCCCCGAGAGTAGTCCGGTGTAATCCAGGAACTTCAATATTTGATATAGCTAGATCCTGTATACCGATGTGGAGATGGAGAGAGAAGGAAGAAGAGAATCTTCGAACTAGTTTCGCCATGTGCGGCTTGATGACGTGCAAATTGGGTTACCTGCCCATGGGAATCGTATAATTAAATTTCGTCAGGTATGCTTATTATCGAATACACCTTTAGTCGAGTGGCACACGAACGGAACGATATTTTTGTCAAGAGTTTTGAAGTCTTATCGTGTTGACGTACCTCTTTCCACTGAAGCGAGTCGGATTAAAGTATAAATTGATTAAATCGTTACATTAAATAAGACTACCACGTACATCTGTTTGCAAATCATCGAATATCGAGTTTATGTAAACTTTCAGAATAATTATAAGATCAAGTTTTCTCTCTAAATTGATAGTTACTTAAAATAAAATCAATGTCGGCAGAAATATCAGCGCGTTAAACAAATTAATTCATTTCAATTGTCTTAAGAAATCGAGAAACCTGTACATTTTTAATAACTATTTAAGCTTGTGAAGTAAATGATCTGTTCCAGCGTACAACACGAGTCCCCACTTTTGTAGTTCCTTCTACGCGGGAAATCCTATGTAATTTACTGACACTGCATGTAGTCATATAGCGCCTTCATCTAGAAAACATATTTAACAAACTCTGACCTGTTCCCATTTACGGGAGATATAAGCGCATGTCTGACAATGAGATATTTTCCTATCTCGTAAGCAATATTGCAGATAATTGGACTGGAAATTTGAAATTATTTTGCCTTGCGATTTGGTTACATATATAATATGGAATATATGACATTATGTCCATGATTACATATGAATATTTATTCAACATTTTATCGAAATGTCATATATTATTCTGTCAAATAATTTTAATAGTGTAAAAGCCGCAACATGCGTTTATTATATGATATACTAAAGACGCGCGTATAATTCTATAAGCCTGTACATTATTTTTACACGCCATATATTTCTAAAGGCTATATATATAACGACAAACCTGAGCGTCATATTTACTAAGTTATTGAATTAAAACGCCATAAATAACACCGGTAATTTCGCAAAGTCAAACATTTCGTCACGAGTGCGATAAATCATTAACTGTGGGGGGGTCGATTCGAGATCGTAAATTCTCGAGATCGTAAAAATATGACGACGCAACAAAAGCAAGCATCGCGACGCAAAAATCAACTTATTGAATTATAGTCCCTAATTACATAATACAATATGCATAATGGACGTTTCACAAGAGCACCGAGCGGGAACCTGGGCGTTTAACGATCACCGTCATCCTCTGGGTTGCATGAAGTACGAGCGGTGTCAAAGGGGAAGGCCCGAAGGAAGCAGAATAAGGCAGACGCGGAAGTAGGAGTGTCGGGGACCATAAACTCGTCGAGCACAGATAATGCCGTGTATATAGAGAAGCGCACTCTTCATCCTCTTCTGCACCAGATGAAGTGGAGCTGTGACGACGCGCTGCAACGAGTATTATACTACAGGAACGAGGACGGGAGCTTCCCGAGACTGCGTTTCGAAAGCTATTATCCTCCAGTCGTAAGACTAGGATCCCTTCGCGTGACGTAACCTTATTTCATCCCATTTAAGTTAGCTCGACTTTCCATAGCTTACAGCATTGCTCGGCTGACCGGCCGTATAACTAGCGTTCGGAAAATCGCTGTTTCAAGATTCGCATCAACGCAACGCGCAACAGTTTTCACCTCCGTTAAATCGTTCGAAATAATCTTGTTATCAAATTCTGTTATTAAACATAAGCTCTCAATTTTAAACTAATCATCGATTTAATTACGATATAAAATCCGCTTAATATTTATTACTGCAGTTCTTTTTAATGGGAAAGACTAACGAGAATATGAGTATGGCTTTATGGAACGGATCATTCAATTATTAAATAGAAATAGCTATTTTCACTATTAATATCGTTAATGAATTTACCTATATTGATTGTTATCGATTGTGAATAATAAAAAGTTAAGAGAATGATGCAAAAACATCTTCTAAATTTAGCAAAATTCGACAAAAATTAAAATCATGATAATTGCGCAGCGTTAAAAATGTTGATAAAGTTTATTATATTGCACGAAACGTGAGAGTGATGTTTCGGAGACAAAGTTTGCATAAATGAATATGCATTAATTTCTCACATTTCGTACGATATTTGGCAAAAAAAATGTTATCTTTATTCTTGTTTGAATAAAGATGATTGTTTTGTTACATGAAAAGCAAACTGAAAAATAAAATCACAAGATTACGCGACCTCCTAAGGAACTTATTTGAATTGGAATTTACTTGATTGCAAAATTAGTTTGCATAATTGACAGAAGAGATTAAATTATAATTATAATTTACAGCTCCAATTTGTATTAAATAAACGTATTAGCAATTTTTGTGACAAAATATATTTAAATATATTATATATTTAGCGACTTTTGCTCTACGCAGAACAAGATTGTCGTTTTGTTTTACATTAGTGTACTTCCAGTTGGGCTTTGATAAATACCATTAGCAAAATCAGTGCATTGTTACAAAGTTTAACACGCTTTTTTTGTAAGCCGATAAAATATCACAATTTTAAAATTTTACAATTTTAATCTTCTTCTCGTTCAAGTTACTCCCGATATTTTTGAACATTTTGTTTCAAAGCTTTGTATTTTATCAAAATTAAAATTGTATTTTTTTTCAATCAAATTTTAGAAACATTTATTCGTCATTATGCTCGTTGTGTTGATGAATATACATAATTAAATATAATAATATATTTATATAAAACATATATTACATATATGTATATATGTATATAAACATTATTACATATTAGGTTGTACGTGAAAAATTAAAGCAATTTAAATTACATTCATAATATTGCATACAGATAATATTTAATTATCATACAATAATAAATATATAAACACCGTAAATGAATAAAAAAGTTAATAACATGAAATATTGATATGCAATTTGCATGTGCAAACTGGGAAAATTTTACGCGACGAGTAATATAATTTTAAATATCAGCTGTTTTCTTAAAAAGCAGCGTTGTTATATACCAAGAACACATTTGCTAAAAAAAAAAGTATAAATTCATTATATATACGTGCAACTTTTCACCCAGTCAAAATTTTCGTTCTCATACCTCTATAATCTATCATTAAAGTATCTAATTTAATAATTACATATGAGCATATTCTATTATAATATTATGCATTTCAAATACGTTTATCGCATATCATAGCAAAACACAGCAATATCACTATTTGAGAATGAATATTCCCGAATCAAACTTGTATTATCGACAGATGTCACAATCGACTTGCCGCGAGATCGACATCGTCGAAAAGTGATTTTTGCTGTTAACGCTAACTATTAGATGAAAAATATTCACGCTGCTGCCCATATAAAATAAACGAGCACCGACGAAATGAAGTGACAGTTTAATCGAAAATAACCATACTCCTTCCAATATATCATAAACGTGTTTCTGAAATGTATCCTGCAAATCGCATGCGTCCAATGCTGCGACTGCTTGTCTTCACGTGCAATATATATAACTGTAAGAATATGGATAACTCTACAAATAGAAATGAGATAATTTTTTCTTATCTCTCGCATTTTTATTTTCAAGGGCACCTATAATAAGTGGAATCGAAATAATAATAATGTACAAGGCTCTAGTTCGATTATGGCCTCAGTGGCTCGCTGCTCTAATAGGTTAGTTAACTTGTCGATTTATTTATATTTCAATTTAATCCTTTCGCTGCTGTAAGCGCCTTTAGAGGTTTTGAAATTTTAATAATTGTGTACTATTAGCGCTTTAAACCGTTCAAGTGTTATCACCTAGATAATACTGATGACGTATTTAAACGTGCAGATTTATATTATCATCATTCACATATTTTTATTAGTAATCCAATTATATCTTCTACTAGGTTTTGAAATTTTAATAATTGTGCACTATTAGCGCTTTAAACCGTTCAAGTGTTATCACCTAGATAATACTGATGACGTATTTAAACGTGCAGATTTATATTATTATCATTCACATACTAGTAATCCAATTGTATTTTCTATTAATAACTGATAAGCGATGCGCGATAGTAAAAAGTTTCACTGCTTATAGCAGCTAAACATGTACGGTTTGTCCGCATTGCATTAGATTTCGTCGCAACGAAAGGATTCATTACGAAAGAGAAAGAAAGAGAGATTTTCACTCTTAAAAAGTAAAATAATATTTAACATATTTTCCGAATATATTGGTGTGCTCATGTGATATATAATGATACATTGTATCATAGTATGCCTATTAGTCCTCAGTACTGGTCTCGTAATCGGTTGGACATCGCCTTATTTAGCGCAATTAACCGGTGAGGATCCACCGTTTCCGGTAACACATGAACAAGCATCATGGATAGCCTCTTTATTACAACTTGGACGTCTATTCGGTGCTGTCATTGGATCTCTCTTCGTGGAATATCTTGGCAGCAAGATGTCTCTGTTGTTAACCGGATTGCCAATGATCTTTGGATGGATTTGCGTAATTTGCGCCAATTCTGTTACATGGCTATATATGTTTAGAATATTTTCAGGTAACAATCTTAATTATAGCTATTAATTACCAGCTTATATACAGAACAAATCGATTCGTCAGTATAATCTGTTGCAAAGCGTAATTTTATATTGCCTTTTATATTCAAGCATTTAAATTCTACAATTATATAATCTTTTTCAGAGTTTTATGTAAATTTTTCAAGATCTCATTGAACTTATTGTTCTATACTAATATTTCTAGCTCTATGTAATTTTATGAACAATTATATTATACTAATCAGGTATATCAATGGGAATGCTATTCGCTTGCTATCCGCTTTACATCGGTGAAACTTCGGCGCCGTCAATTCGCGGGGCCTTAGTAAGTTTCATTGTCAATACATTGCCTTTGGGTACACTTCTCGGTAATATAATGGGTCCCAATATGTCTATGACATATTTCGGAGTTATCAGCTTGATATTGACGATATGCTACCTAATTGCTTTCCTATTTCTTCCACGATCGCCGCACTATTTCGTGCGACGCAATGATATGAAGAGGTAAATATGATGATATATATATATATATATATATATATATATATATATATATATAATGTAAAAAAATTGTTTCGCTAATTTGTTGTTCAAAGTTGTATTCAAACTTTGTTATTTAATGGGCCATGACTGATCTTGTGACTAATGAATGTTTTTCGACTTTTATTTTTAATGCATGATTGATATGACTCGGCAAAGAGAGAAGATAAGCATTCATTTAGAGTGATGAGTTTGGTTCGATAAATCTTCCGTAATGATAATATTATGCTGAGTAATTGTGTAATATATTGTGCAATATATGTTATCGGTTGATTTAATTCATAAATTAATTGCGTGATTATATATATATATCAAATAATCTACAGCAGAGTAAATATAATTATTGATACTTTAAGTGTCATCTTTATTATATATTCATCTTGAATATTTTCATTATTTTTTAAAGATAAAATAAAATTAAAAAAATAATTTGTTTCATTCTTTTAATTTAATATTTAATATTAAATTAAGCTTTTAAACTTTTCGAGGTTTGCTTAAAAAAATTACATAATTTTTCAAAGACGTGAGTATTTTACAAGAAATATTTTATATTTTATTCTGTATATTTTATTCTATATTCCTTCTCCGTGGCTAATATCCATTTCTATTATCTTACTTTTTATACACATAATAATAAATGAAATAAATGAAATAAATTTAGTCGTGTAAAAAAATATAACTATATTTAATCTTCTATCGGTCACGTCGATTATTAAAAGTTAATTTAAAGAATGAAAACACAAACGATCAGGAAGACAAATAATTTTTTAAAAAAGCAAGATATTCAATAGCTATTCATTATTCATAAAGTATGTAATGTTCGGACATAACTCGTGCTTTGAAAAAGAAAAGAAAAAAAATAGGTGTTGGAAGAAAAATAGCAAATAGAAAAAGAATGAAAAGACAATATAATTATATACTGCAGATATGCGAGGAATAAATGCAAGGCGGTTTAACTAGAAAATATTCTGTACATCTCAGATACATATTTATAATAACTATGCAAATTAAGATATTTTTTTCCACTTCTTACATAATTCCAGAGCGGAAAAAGCCATTCAATGGTATTTTCGAAAATCTGATATAAAAAGCGAATTGGAAGCCGTAGAGCATTTCGTAAAGTCAACGCGTGCAGTAACTATAAAGGAACGGTTGGAACAAATAAGAATGCCGAAAAATCGCCGCGCTTTCACGATAATAATACTACTGTTCATGTTTATGCAACTCTGTGGACTAAATACCATTACATTTTATATGGAGATTATCGTGAGAAAGGGGATGGTCACGTCGATTGCGCCTTCGTCTGTAGTAATGATCATTAATGCAATTGGTAAGCGATTAATTTCGATATCAATAATGTAATTATTATATCTCTTCCTTATTATTTTGTTAATTCATATGTATGTTTGGAGCAATCTAATCCTTAAATTTAAAGATAAATTGATAAATCTCGCCTTGTATATTAATCACAATGTATACTCATCTTTTAAACTCCATTTTCATCCGTTTCAAAATAATAAGAGGTAGAATCGTTTGTCACTTTATCCAATTATGACACAGGTATAATTTTCGGCTGGTGCGCCGCATACGCCATCGATCGTCTGGGTCGTAGAATCGTGCTAGCGATCTCATCTTCTGGTGTGATACTCGGCATGCTGTCACTAGGCTTACATTTTCATCTTTTGAATCTCGATTACGATCCCGGTGATCTCGAGTGGCTTCTCATCCTATCACTGATAATATTTATGTTGATGTACTTCGGACTCGTGCCGGTGCCAAGCACGATGCTGAGCGAACTGTTTCCATCCGATCTAAAAAGTATGGCTGGATTCGTCAGCAGCATGACGTCGGCTATTTTCGCGTTTATCGCCACCAAAACCTATCAGCCATTAGTAGATATCATAGGCGAACAGTATGTTTTCTGGATCTATGCTGGAATCATCATAATTTGTCTACTGTACTCGCTCACTTTAATGCCAGAGACGAAAGGAAAAACATTGCAGGTAAATTTATTGTATGCGATTTCAGCATGATTTATTTTATTTGCATACGTATTTTTACTTGGACATATTAGTAATAATTTGTTAGTTATGATGATTCATATATTATTACGGAATAACATAAAAAGAAAATATATAAAATAAAATAAATTTTATCTTGGATGTATAAATGCATATTAATTAATGATGATGTTAAGGAAATTCAAGACATGATGGCAGGAACTACTGAAAGATCGCGACGAAGAAACCGTGTTGAAACGGAAGATACTTTTACGAGTTAAATTGCATGTAAGTAATAAAAATTTAATCACGAAAGATGTATGTATTTTATATACTTTTGTAGATAATATTACTAATATGTATGCTTCTGTTAATATTGTAGATATTATTAGTACATTTACATAAACGATTGCAAAAATAAAAGTAGATAGAAAATGAATGTCTATAAACAATAAAAGTAACTAATTACAATGATTCGAATTGATACATAAGAAAATTTAAAATTAAGCCAGTATAATATATTTGAAAAATATATAATATATTTGAATATATTGTAAAAAAGATAAAATTGTTTGAACAAAGAAAATATAAATAGCAATGTTTTGTTCATAAAACATTCGTAAAAATATATATTTATAAATATACTTGTTGATAAAGATACTTCGGATTTAACCATATATGATTCACAACTGTAACATGAGTAATTTTATAATTTTGTCCTAAATGTTTTCTTTTTCATGAAATTAAACCCAAGTTTAGAAACCAAGTTTAGAAATATTTTAAAAACGTAAAATATACTTGTAAATATGAATACATCGAAAACTATTTATTTTAATATTCAAATTGTATATGTAATAAGTTATAAGCATCATTTAATATAAATTATATTTTACATCTTGCATACGTTTAATAAAAAAACATCATGCCTTTAATAATTTATTAATCACTTTATTTTGCATCTTGGTAAAAAATTTTTAATACACAAATATATGTGTGTTACTCTTTTAAACATATATTATAAAAATAAATTTATATGTTTTATATATTACATTATTTATATTTTTGATAGATTAATCAATCTAGTTGTCATTGAATTATGCAAGATTTGTAGTGTATATTAGATTTTTATTGAGTTTTTAAAAATAGAACACATATATTTTTACAACATTAACAAAAGACAAAATATGTGTGAAGAAATAATCAAACAAAAGACAAAATATGTCTGAAGAAATAATCATTGTCCTACATAAAATTTTAAATAGTTATTTTGGTAGTGTATTTTTTAAAAGATTAATTTTATAAATTCAGATCCCCTAATATAATAGTTCAAAATTTCAAAGTTATAAACGACTTAATAAGTAGAAATCGCATGTTTTATAATTATATGCAAATGTATCCATACCAATCACTATATTATTACTACATTAATTTTCATCATTAGCTAACATTAGTTGTTATTGTTTAATTTATCTTGCTTTTTACGCTTGTTATAAAGAGAAAAATTTATGTTGTAGAAATAGTTATAAATTAAAATAGGATTTCAAATTTTTAATTTGTATTTTCTGCCTCTTCATAATTATTTTTTTTCTAAATTATTAAAAATTATTAAAATATTAAAACTTTTGAAATTTAAAATATGTAGCGTATAACAACGGCATATTAATGTAAGAAAAAATAAATATGACTTATGTTATTACTTATGACTTATGACATTATTAAATCAAATTTCACAATAAACAATACAGTTATTTACTAACACATAATTAGTCTACAATAAACAATAAAGTTATTTACTAACACATAATTTTCATCGCGTTAATAACATTAAATTTAAAAATACATAATTTTCACAATGATAATTTCTTACTATAAAACAATACGTATTGATATACATAGATTTGAGGCATATTAGAATTTTTTTCATTTCTAATCATTAAATGATATTAATTTGTTTAATAATCAGATAAATCCCTGATAACAAATATAAAATTCTTAGCATACATATAGTTACTAATTCATTTAATTTAAACTAAACGAAATACTTAAATACTATAGCCATGATAGTTCCACGTGACGTTTACAATGCTCATATCATCTTTATTGTTCACTGACAGTTAAATAAAGATAGATGATGTCTGTGAATTGTGAACGAGTAGGATAGTGGGACATGCTCCATGATGACAATATAAAGTATATATATGTATCTCATTAAGAATACATACATCACTTATCTCGATGACGCAGAACGTTTTAGATTTCACATCTCGACGATTGTTGAGAACAGATACTCTTCACGAAAGCTCAGTCATAAACATGCTGCGGAAAGATCATTATGGATCATAAGATGGAAAAGAAAGAAATAAGGAAAGCAATTTGGCCTCAATGGATTGCTGGTACCGGAGGTGTGTGTATTCCACATTTTAATATATTTCTTCATATATATATATAAAATATAAACAACTAATAATTTTTTAATTTTCAGTCACGCTTTCGCTGATACAAGTAGGAATAATGGGGGCTTGGAGCTCGCCATATATCGCGTATCTAACTTCATCCAAATCCCATATTTCCGTAACAATGGACGAAGCTTCTTGGATAGTTTCATTGCTTAACCTAGGCAGACCAGTTGGCGCCATTCTCGGTTCTGTCGCCGTCAACTATTTCGGTACTAAAACAACGATTCTCGTGAGCAGTTTACCAATGGCTTTCTGTTGGCTCTTTATAATGTTGGCTGATCGAGCGGAGTGGTTATATGCAGCTAGATTTCTAAGTGGCATTGGTATAGGAAAAACATACAGCAGTTTTTCGCTTTACTTAAGCGAAATCGCGGATCCTACCATTCGCGGAGCTTTGGTATTTCTGGGTATGTGTGTTTTATATCTCATATATATACATAAATCTTTATAAATAAGCACAATATAAAAATGTGAAAAATGTTGAATATTGTGATATTATAATATCTCGTTAAATGGTTGATGATTTTCTCTCTCTCTCTCTCTTTCTCTCTCTATTTGTTACGAAAATTTTAGTATGAAAGCCTTGTTTGTCACATTTTATAATTTATAATATGTTATATCATTTCACAAGAGAATACGTTTTAAAGTTTAACAGAAAATAATGATAGTATCTGATAATGATAATACTTCGTTTTATAGTATCTAATAATGATATTACTTCCTGTTTTAATAAAACAAAATAAGATTTAGACATGAAAAAAAACAAAAGATCGAAAGAATTAAAATGCACATTCGCGTTGATGATAGGCACAATTGTACGAAACTAACAAGATTGTTGAACTTTTATCCGCAGCGGTGTCTGGCTTATCAATAGGCAATCTAATGATATGCATCATGGGTGCGAATTTAAACATGGAGATCTCTGCTAGCATATGTCTCGCCCTTTGTTTTATACTGATGATCATCTTCCTCTGGTTACCGGAATCGCCGCATCATCTCGTCAAGATTAATGCCGAGGAAAAAGCCCGAGCATCGATGCTCTGGTATCACCGCGAATGTGACGTAGAATCAGAGTTGCAAACCCTGAAGAAATTTATTGAAATAAACAATAGCATAAGCTTCATAAACGTTCTAAAAGAATTCAAAGTTCCGCATATTTGGAAAGCGCTAGTACTCGTGTTGGTGCTCTTTATGTACAGTCAAATGAGTGGTTTGAATAATGTGGTGTTCTACATGGAAAGCATTCTGCGAAGCGCCAATGTAAATGTCATAGATCCGTCAACGGTCGTGATCATCGTTACCGCTTTTGGGATTGTTAGTTCCTTGCTCTTTATGCTGTTAATTGACAAGTTTGGCAGACGAATCCTGATGATCGCTTCCAGTTTGTCTGTCGCGATCTCGCTAATTTGCCTGGGGACGGCATTCCAGCTTCTCGATGCGAATTATGACGATTTGCAAGCACTAGCAATCTTCTCAATGTTCTTCTTCGAGCTGGCCGTTTTTAGCGGTATTATCTCGATACCTACCACGGTAATGGGCGAGATATTTCCGCCGCATGTTAAGTGCATGGCTGGCTGTTTAACCAATGTCATGGCTGGATTCTTTGCTTTCATATCCACGTCGACCTATCAGCCTCTAATTAATTTAATCACCGAGAAGTACGTATTCTACATCTACTCTCTGCTGCTGTTAACTGCTGTACCGTTTACACTCTCCTGCATGCCAGAAACCAAGGGCAAATCGTTGCAGCAAATCCAGGAAGAATTGACGAAGAAAAGTTGAATCAAGTACGTTTATTAAATTGTATCAGTGAACAATTTATAGCAATGACTTGTAGCGATGATTTATAGCAATGATTTACGAATCTTGTGATAATGACTCATTTTCTCGCACTCATTGCAAGAAGTTTTTCATAACATATTAATATCAGCGCCAAGTAACGTTAGTACGTCCAATAATAATCTAATAAATTGTAATTTCACGCGATATTTTCATTCGGTATTAACAAATCGATACAAATAAGTAATATCTTATCGTTAAAAAAAGCTGTGAATTGATGCGAAATAGTAAATGAATATTTTAACTTTAATTCATTGCCTTTAATTCATAGACTTAGTCTACGCTCATTGCATTATTGATACACATATGCACAATATATTTTATCTTTATATATATTATAATTGTTAAAAAATTTTAATTGTTTGTTTTGTTGAATACTTTTTATTTTGTTAACTACTAAAGAATTATTTAACTATATAAAGATTATATTAAAAATTGCGTTATAATGAATAATAATGAATGATAAATTTATAAAATCAGACGCGGCAGAGCGACACGAAATAATCTTGCTGTAATATAATTATACAAACTGAAACTAATTCTTACCTAATTTTTCTTTAGAACAAAATTATAATTAAAATCATGAAATTTTTTCACGATTGATATAAGGTTCTCATATTTACAAATGTGACGAAAACGATTTGGTAAGATAAGAGGCTATTTTAGTTGCATTATCATGTTACTTTTAAATAAGCACGATACATTAAATTATCAACATTTTGATAAAAATAAATGTAATCTCATATATGAAACAATAGAATCTCTTCTAGAAAGATTTAGAAAGTCAGATGAACTGTCTAGTCTCACGATACTGACAACGAGACATGATAAATGAATGTAATGTAATAAAAATATAAAAGCCATTTTTAAATTAGAATCTGGATTAAAATTAATATATCTCATAATGTAATTAAGCAATAATAATTGCATGAAATGTTATTCAGACAGATCTGATGTACCGTTCTGATTTATTCCATCGTTAATTAAAACACAATGTAATTATTTTTTTTAATAAATATAACGCATCATATAATACGATGATCCACGATGGAATTCGGCAAATATTTCTTATTTTATTATAAGATGACGTTTGATTTGAACGATGACGTCTAATCTTGAGACCGACGTTGTAAATTCAATACTATCTTATCTCATATATTCCCAGTAGCATCGTTGTGTATCATTGAGTAAGCAAAATACAAAAAAAATTATGTATATTATCAAAATATGAGCAACGTGTACATTAGCGTGATGATTAATGATGTTGACTTAAAAATAAAAAAGACTATTATAATACTATTATATGTATACGATTCTATTATTAGATTAATAAAAAAGATTATATTATTAGATTAATATTCTATTCAATAAAAATCTACTCAATAAAAAAGATTCTATTATTAGATTAATAAAAAAATTACATGTTAAATTACAATTAAACAATCAGGCAAACGTATCACACATGTTTAAAACAATGTAAAAAAATATTTTAATAAAACATAGCACGAAAAAGATATGTCTTGAAAATAATTAAAATTTAGAATAAAATAATTCAGACTTAATCTGATAAGTAAAATTTTTATTATTCATACTAATTTTCTTGCATTTTATTTACATAATAGATTTTGTGCTACAATATTTGATGGAACATCACGAATATGTTCTCTTAATATGCCGACATATACTCTCAACTAGGATTTTAAATTCATTACCGTAAAATGTGATTATAATGCAAGAGGTGTATAAACCAATAACTGCAACCACCACATCACGGGCAAACGTTGTATACGCATAATGTCCCGTAATGCACCAATTACATTAGCATACAGGTAACGCGTACGCATTTGCTTGCATCAAAATGCTCGTCTTTTTTGTCTACACGTTGCATTCCGCATACGATAGTAATCGGTAGAATTTTCCTTTACAAAATAGAGATAATGCCTTATATGCGGGATGGAATGAGTATGAAAAGAATTAGCCGTGCATAAATGAAGAAGGCGCATTCGCAACGTTGTTTAAATAACGCTGTTACCGTGAACGCACGTGAAATTCTAGGTAAATTACGGATTTATTCAGAGAACAGATGGAAAGATCCCCTAGAAGATACTTGGTCCGACTTAATTTAGATAATAACGGATCGTTTTGTCTCTTATCTGTCCGCCTTTACGACTTTTTATCCCTTTACTTCGCGAAGGTCGTTACGTATAGTTTAGTATCCATAAAAAAATATATATCGTAAAAGCGTTATTTGGTGAAATTAAATACGTCGATTTACGAAGCGGCTGAGTATTTGATAAACTTGAAGTAAGTAACAATTATTTACGATACAATTACGTATTTTTTGTTTTATCGACAGCGCATGTGAATCACACGATGAGCATTTTAGATTAATAGAGCAATTTCAAGTACTATTCCGGTGCCTGGCTACATCGGGGAAGTTAAAAGCAAACATATAAATGGAACGCGCCGCTACTGTTTAATCTTTGTTATTGTTTGATTGACTGGCATACAACAATGAACAAGCAAACAGCGGAACTTACTTTACCCAGCAATTACTGCAACTTTCAGCTCAACGAAAATGGCCTCAATCGGGCGCGCGGGACACGACGTCTTTCGCCGCCGCGAGAAAGTTCCGCGTTCAAACCGCGTAACGAGCAGAGAGTGTAATTGCCAGCGGAGCGCAAACTCGATTGTCCTCTGAGAAACCTACGTCCGCTCCGGAACTACCAATCACATTAGACCTGTCTGCAAGTAAACCCCGAGACAATTATCCCTCACCGCTATCCAGATATTCATATTTTACGGCAAACAATCACTTCAACAACCAATGGATATATTATGCTCGATAATGTATGTAGTATTATTCGATGGCGTTTATTATTGTCAAGTTTAGTCAACTCGTATATAATTGGATATCTGACGCGCGATATCTGATATATATGAATTAAATATATAATTAGAGTCCTCGTATACAGGAAATTCTCACAGTAAAAACTGAATTCAATCTTTTTGTGTATTTTACATATTTTATAAAACGTATTTTATAAAAAAATATAAATATAAGTTACTTGTATATGTATATAAAGCAATGATATTCGGAGAATTCTTTATTTCGTGAATAAATCACCCGCAACGATCACTCGGTATAAATGAAAGGAGGGATTTACCCTCGTCGTATGCCGCTAAAACGAAGACATTCATTTTATTCGCCTAAATCTGTCGCGCGCGTTCTCGCTTAATTTTCGCGGGAGTTATTCTTCATGCGAAAGAAGAATATTTTCGTTCTCCTATATAAGAATAACCCGTACTTGAGCTGAAAACGAACAGATAGGCAATAACGGGAATTCTTAGGGAAGCGGCCGCGAATCAAGCCGGAATCTTCGCATGCAATTTTGCAATGCAATTACCTGTCGCCAACAATCTTCCACGTTTTCTCCAAGTTTCTTCATTCGCCACTCTCCCCTTAGAATTTTAAAATTCAACAAACCTTGAGCGAGAAAGAATCGTCTTTCCATTCACGCTGTTAGAACATCTCGTTTTTATTGCATGAATCGCCTGATCGGCTGTAAGAGCAGAAAAAGCCGCATGCGATGCTAAATTATCGACATGAAAGACGATTTTCTCCCGTTTTAAACAAGATAATAATTTTTGTAAAAATTTGCAAAATCGGATGTCAGGCTAAACAAAGTTTATAGCCTTCTATAATCGTAATAAAATAGAAATTTAGTAGTATTTTCTATAATAAAAAAATTAATATGTTGTACTTTTTTTGCTATATTTTTTTTATGAAATTAATAATTTAATTTATTGTGATCGATTATCATTCATTTCTTATTTGAAATAACTTACAATCCTTTCTTATGAATTATACTATCGTATGAATAATATCATCAATAATACCATCTATTTATGAATGTTTGTGTCAATCATTTGACAAACTTTTAATTTAAATGTGTATATGCAATACAATATAATTAAAGTTTCATATTTCTTTTACTAAACGTTAAATCGAAATTCACACGCTTAGTGTATATGTATAAATGATTAGAGAGAGAGGGAGGAGGATTACAGAACCGGCATCAAATTGTCAGGAAACAACAATACGTTTATATTGGTTTTGATATCAGTGTAACACAGAACTGTGCATTGATTCAGGAAATTTGTTGAAAATAGTGAATAATCAAATTGTTTGCGAAAGCTTCGTTATATATTAAATTACGTATATTATCTCGACATAAAATGACAGTTTTGAACAATCAATTGACCACAGGACAACATACCGCAAATTCATTCAGCACGTCATTCATTTATCAACTGCGAAACAAATGTAAGCCGATCAGAGGAAGAATAATTTTCATTAAAAGAGCTTTTACACAAAATAAAAATTATTGCGTGCAATTGAGATACAGATTATTGGTTTTGCAAAAAAGAAATGGTTTGGTTGACTGCCAAGTTGCAATCGCAGCCAATGAAACAAAAACAAAAGAAAAAGAAAGAAACACAAGAAGAAAAAAGGAAGATTTTGAGGAAAAAAGTCGTCGATCTACCATTTTCGTGGCACAACTCAATAAATCGTGAAAAGCAGTTTGGTTTGTTTCAAGTGGATCGATAATTTTTGTGGCCAACTCATATTCATTGTGTTACGTGGTTACAAATACCACTTTTAACAAACATGTGGTCAACTATTTAACCATATGTCGCTTCCAATAACAACTTGACACAATTAAAATTAGATTAATGATTTAACATCAAATCAATTTGATTATTTAACCGCCTCTCTCTTTTCGAATTGCATAGTCATAAAAGTTATATTTTTATATATATTTTAAGTAATATATAGCTATAACCAAAAACAAAAATTCCCGTCTTAAGAGACTTCCATATTTCTAACTAAAAATAAAATCTTTTATATAATTTCTCTCCTTTATTAAATAAAATAAAAAATTTTTCTGTAGAAAATCATGAATTTTTGCTAGTAGTTTTAATAATAAAATAACATTAAATTAAATAAAATTTATCACAACATTGAATAAATTAAATTAAAATAAATTAATTCAATTTCAATAAAATATATCTATAATGAACGATGATATTTTCAATCATCGATACAAGCACAGTATGTATCGATACGTATGAGCATTTTCCAGGAAAGTAAGAAAGAGAAAATAAAAGAGGACGATTGTACATCTACGCTGACTAGGTACATGAATATTTACACAAGGGAAATGAGGCTGTAGGAAACGAGCGGAAGCGAGGATTCGCGTGGGACTGATAGTCGGCCCGACAGTACTCTCATACCAATATCCCTTTCTGGTCTATTTCCACCGTACCCTTGCTCAGTTTGTTCCGCGTGAGCTCTTTATTTTCCCCATTCCTGCCAATTTCTTTCGTACTATTCTTCTCGCTACAAGCCAAATATGTCATTATTTATATTGCGAACCAATGTATATAAAAGTAGCCTTGTCCTTTTTTTCAAAAAACTATGTGTTTTGAAAGGAACTTTTGTTTTACAAACACAAAATTAGCCAAGTTCTTAAAAGAAGCATTTGCCGAAACGACTTTTTTACCAAATGGTATTTAAAAATTCCTGTAGTTTACAATATTAAAATTTCAGCTATTTCTATATCACTAAAAAAATTCTAAAATATTAAACGTTACAATAATATATAAATTATAGATATAATTTTTTCACCGCGTACGATTATGTATATATTTCAAAATTTTTATTTAGAACAATCTGTATGTGTATTTATTAAATGTATGTGTATTTAGGACAATAAATGTGTATTTACTAAGTTTAAAAGATTCATCTATTTAACGGATCTCCACCAATTATGCATCTCTACGAAGGGAGCTTGTAGAACGATTCATCTTAATTTACAGTAGATGCGCACAGGTAATTAGCCCAATTAATATCAGCCATCGGAACTTACGGTGATTGACCGAACTAATGAACAATCGTGATTAACCCAATTAATGTTTCGGTGCTGAACATTTTAATGACTTCGATCGCCAACAGTCAAGGTCGGTGATCTATAATTATTGTCTTCAGAAAACAGCACGAATCTTTGC